TTTAGTGCAAATCATTAGCCCAAATTACATAAAGAAACTACTTGAGCACTAGTTAAAGCCCAAATTACGCAAAATAACGAATTGAGTTTAAATCATTTGCTGACAGCTTGGTCCCCCCCAGTTAAAAAATCCTATCTGCGCCACTGTTTTCGTGTATTATTTTTTCTTCACAGCGCTGAATGTCATATGGCGATTGTGAAACACGAAACACCTCACTTACATGATTTTATGTTGAAATGTGTTATTTTTCATGTTAATCGGGTACATTTTTATCAAGAACAATGTACTGTGCATTAACGACAATTGTCATTGTCAAAACATAATACAACAATACTTCAGATGTCATATGCCATACAGATTGTTTTAAATATTGTAATTTGTGTAGCGTATAATATGTAATCGCGAGCATGCGTTTAAACGTTCATAATCAAAACCTACTACAGCGCATGCATGTAAAACTAATGAACCATTTACTTTATTAATCAAATGAGAGGGCAAAAAAACTAAGCAAAATTGCAGTTATTACAGCATGCGCTTGTGACATCATCAAAATATACCACCAAGCATGCATGTTACAACGGCAACTACATATTTGATACGTCATCGCGCTACAGGCTGCACCCGCGGGTCGCCCCAAACCTACTCATCTTTCATAGGTGTTAGATGATAGAACATGATAGAAAATGTGTTCTTCCTTGGTGTAGGAAGGAAACTATTTCATTGAGTGTAGTCAAGTCAAGTCACCTTTATTTCTATCGGCCTAGTGCTTTTTACAATACAGATCGTTTCAAAGCAGCTTTACAGTGATAACAGGAAAATAATGCAACAAAGTTTGTTTCGGTAGTAGAGCAGATCTAGAAGAAATCAATAAATGCACGTCCTTTAATCTGTTTCCGTTTCAGGTGCGGCCAAAATTAGATTGGAAAACACCACATTCTGACTCATTTATCTCAAATTGTACCCGAAAATCTCAAGGCCCCCGCGGTCAAATATTGTGATTCAATTTATTGTAGCCTATAGACCTAGGCTATATTAAAATCGAGATCTCCGAGACCCGTTTCGTGACTGAACCCTTTGAACAGATTGGTATCGTTCACAAATAACATTAAATTATTCATTTGTGAAATCGACGGACATTGCGAGTTGTTAACAAAAGCGAATTTGTCTCAGATTTTCAGAATGCTCGGAATGAGCTCAACCTTTCAAGCTATTTGTGCATTTTAACACCTCTCTTTTACAGTTTTATAAATGGATTGATGACATTTGCTCATCAACCAGCAACTACTCTGCCTACACCGAGTACAAACACATTTTCTATCATGTATGCCAATGAAAGACGATCAAGTCAATCGAAACAGGTGTGGGTACAGGTAGCCGATCTGCAGGCTGCAGCGAGGACTTCTGGGAACAACTTGGCAAAAAAAGACTTGATTCGGCTCCGAAACGATCGCGGCACTGCCGCTTCTGCTCTGCTAGCTATGCCGCGCTGCCTCTGCAATGCGCGATCGCAGGGGGTTCAAAATAGATGGGAAGATAGTGGGCCAGTAAGGCAGTGTTTTTAAGTCTAGCCTATTTCTCAAGTAAGAAATACTACAGAAATTGAATAGCCTAGTCATCAATTATAAAATATGAAGAGGAAAAAAAACCTCCATAGTTTTCACTGAATGGATTAAATATGCTAGACCGGACATAAAGCAACAGGCACGCCGCACACACTTGTTTGGGCTTGCGAGCCGGCCAAAGAGTAGTAGGCTAACGTTACGTTTTGAGTGGATGGCGAGCGTGAGACGCCGAAATGGATGCCAATAAGATTCTGATTGGAAAGTTTACTTTTAAAAAGTTGCGAGTCGTTGCGAACTGAGCTATCATCGCAGCACGTCCAGTCTGAAATACCACTTGATGGCCAAGCACACAGCTGAGCGTTTCTAAACTTCTCCGTTTTAGGTCTCCGTTTTTGCCGTTTTAGTCTGGACAGGAGGTGCAAACCTGGCAAAAGGTCTCCGTTTCTAAACGAGAACGCAGTAGTGTGGATGGGGCCTAAGTGCCTATATTCAAGCCTAAGAATATATCTCTATTTGTGTATGTGCCAAACATATTTTTCTTAGTACCGAATTAAACCTCTCGGTTTGCCTTAGCTAAATTTATATAGTAGGTTACGATAAAATGCATTATACTATGTTTAGCATTTATTGAAGTAGAAATGACCAATTCGGACGCCCCCCATAAACCATGCAAATTCGGCTGTAAAAGGAAACAAAGAAACTCTCCCGCTCAAAGTTTGCTGAATGGTCATTGGTCAGTCTGCTCCGAGAGAGGTGTGGACTGTCTTCCTTAAAAGATGATGACTCTGGCTCATCGTGCCTTTTTGTATCTTTTGTCTTGTATCGTGTGTCTTTTGCTTTTTGGCTTTCGCCGGTGCTTTTTGCTTTTGTTTTGCGTTTATCTCAGTCCTTCCTTTGTGCTCTAGCTCGCTTGCTTTTTCGTGTTTGGTAAAAGTCCGATCCTACCAGGGAAACGGATTCTTCCTTATAGCTTTCATGAACTTACTTTCAAGTAAACATTTTTGAATTTCACGCGCTCTGGAAGAAAGAACGCTTCCATCTCACGGACTCAACGAGGACACTCACACAGGGTGACAGGATGCTCTCTGCACACACAAGGTCTCTCGCTCGCTTTCCCTCTCTGCCGTGCGCGCGTGCTACGCGGTTTGGAGCACAATCTCAGTCTTGCATGCGCGCTTGCTCTAGATTACGGGAGATTTTAACTAATTTGCGGTATAACTAGTCGATCACGAGTGGCTCAAAAGGTAGATCTATAGATAAACTCATCTTTCAGGCACTTGACCGACCGGGTTGACACTTTAGCGTGAGAAACCGGGGGTGTGGCGTGTGAGTGTGTGAAACCAATCAAATGAGTGTGTCTCACGGCCAATGCGTGAGAGTTGGCAGCTCTGAGTGTCACTTATTAAAATCCATTATACTCTTGATTGTCTCTGTCTGCCGCTCATCGAATAAAGCCTCTTTAATGTGTGATCTTAAGCTACAAGCTCGGTATTGTTAAGTACTTTAGTTAAGTAATTTTATAGCACAGAAAGGTATTCTTCATAACAGTAGAATAGCCTTTCTTGAAAGCAATAATAAGAATAATCCTTCTTGAAGAATTGATCCGAAAATCATACGGTCGGTTCGGTGGACGAACAGATTAGTCGAGGTGCAGTTAATTCTGTTAAAAGGTTGTTCTGAAAATTGATATAGCCTGTCTGTATATTGTATATATTCATAATTAATTATAATGTATTGTGGTTAATTATCTATGTATATGAACGCAGATACATGGACTATATATTCCCTTTTTGGGAGATTTAAATTGGTAGGTATAATGTCTCATAACCTGTAGGATTAATTATTGATTGTGAATTATTGATTATACATTCCCCACATCTGAGCAGATTCCCTACACAGTAGTTTGTAAAAAAACAAAACAATAAGTGTTCTTTAACAAAAATCCTGACCTGACAGTGATTGAGTGCGAGACTTTTTAAAATGAACAGTAGGCCCTAAGCATAATTACAATAGCACTAAGTATTTTCCACAAAGTAGGGATGACCAATGTAACTTGAATTTCTATATTTTAACTTGTTAATATAAATATTACTCACCCTTGTGGTTGATCTTTGTCATCCATTTGAAGTCTGCAAAGAACTGTTTACATAAAAAGCTTTGACGAATTATGAGTTTGCTTCTTAGCAAAAAATAAACTATAGGCTATTTACAAACAATTATACATAGTTTTGATGTAAAACATCTGAGCTTTGAAGCTGCTGAAATAGCAAATTACAAAATAGAACACAAAGGGAGCATATAAAGATTAAACCGTTCCGGGCCAAGAATAGAGCCCTGAGGAACGCCAGACCCCAATTTCATTTCAGACGAAGATTGGTGCCCAATGCAGACCAAGGAACTTCTATTAGTTAAATATGAACGGACCCATTGTAGCACCGTACCCCGAAAGCCCATACACACTTCAAGACGAGAAATGAGGATGTTGTGATCGACCAGGTCAAATGCAGACTCAGAGCTAAGATCTAGCAAGACCAAAGCCACAGATTGCCCGGTATCGATGGTAAGCATTATATCATTCATGACTCTCAAGAGAGCCGATTCTGTGCTATGACAATTTTTTAAACATTTAAATCATTCCAAAAAGACCGGAGTTGACTCAAAACCACTTTTTCTGGAATTTTCGAGATAAAGGGTAAATTTGAAATTGGGTGGAAGTTACTCAGAACTGTAGAATCCAAATTTTTTTTTAAGACAAGGCAAACCCGAAGCATGTATGAGCCCGTTGGGAACGTTCCCGGTGTGAAGACATTTGTTGATGATCAATTAGGACCGATAACTCCTGTTCTTCCTGCTACCAGCCAGTGTGTGTGGCTGTGAGACCTCATCAAGGGAACAATGTCCACCTGTTCTTCCCTCTATAAAGCTTAGGTTTTGTTGGGGTGGAGTGAGCATGCTCCTGGTTACTTTGTTCTTGATTCTGGTCTTTGTGTCTTTATTTTGATCTTGGTATTTATTTAAATTTTGTTCTGTCTGTCACTTAGATTGATCATGTGTCTGACAGAAATTGTGTTGATTTTTGTTTTGTTCTATATTTTTATTTAATTAATCTTTTGTAAAGATCATACCAACCAGACTGTGTCCTCCTTCATTTGCCACGGCTTTGAGCCGGTCATGACACTGTGAATTCAGAAATCCTTCTATAGTCACAAACTGTTTTCCGGCTACTATATAGTAGGGAAGTATGCGATTTCATGTGTGTGTGATGCAGCCTCTGGGATTAGCAGGAGAAACACTGCCAGATCAGTCACATTCAAAGATGGGAAATCCAACTCATTTATGCATTGTTTTGGACGGTTCGTTACACTTGACTGCTGCCGCAGAAAAAGGTTCATCAGTTCATCATGTAATTCTGTTGTCCTGGTGTTGTGGCATATGTCAGCCATATGTTAACAACTTATTTTTATTAAGATATCATAATCAGGGTGTTTAGAAAGAGCTGCAGGTTCACTGAAGATCTGTCAGGATCAGAGATAGAAGAGAGCAGTCATTACATATAACAACTGTTCCCAGTGCTGTATGATAAGAGCATAACGCACAATTAGAGCATACAATTCTTGAAGTACATGTTGATTAACATAAAGAAAGACGAGGCACAGAGGCCCTTTTCACAACAACTACTTCTGCATTCCTCAATTTATATCAAACTCACAGGGAATGCAAACACTGAACTCCATGTACACGGGCAATAATTAAATAGTATATCAACTGTCCCCACACTTTATGTAAATCTCACAGGAATGAGTGAAGGTCTTGTATTTCTCTGGTCAAATCGCAGCAGTAGTAAAAAGCTGGGTGAGTACCATCTGTGTAGAGCTTTTTTTGACTGCCAATGTCATTGGTTATGATAAGAGTAATGCAGTTCATTGGCCACCAGATGGTGCCACTAACATGCCCTACAAGTGCTTAGTGAATCCTGCAAACATGGCCATCATCACCGCTGGTCTTTCTGAACACTCGGCACAGATCCTCATGATGCTCGAGCGGTCCCCGTGCTCTGGGTTTACAGCGCTGGCTGCTGAGACTCAGTGCTGGTGTTGCTGGTCCAGGTTTGAGACGCTACCGCTCTGGCTGAGTCTGGTGATTCATAGACCGGTGGTTCTCTCTCAGTCTCAGTCTCTGGAGGGTAAGGAGGAGGTGGGAGGTCAAACCATGACGGTCGGCTGGAGAGAGAAATAAAGACAGAGAGAGTGTTGAGCTTAATAACAGCAGATGGATGATTATGGTCAAAGTCAAAGTTTATTTATAAAGCACTTTTTAAAAACAGCAAGTGTTTATCAAAGTGCTGTACACGCATATCACATATCAATGATAGAAACAGTCAACAGCGCAGAATAAAACAATAAGACACAAAAAAAAGCAACTCTCGCATAGCGTCAAATGCCAGACCATAAAAATAAGTTTTTAGGCTAGATTTAAAAATAGCAAGTGTTTGAGCCTGTCTAATGTAGAGGGGCAAACTATTCCAGAGCTTCAGGCCCACCACTGCAGATGCTCGGTCACCCCTGCCCTTCAACTTTACCCGTGGGACAGCTACAAGCAAATGGTCAGCAGACCTAAGTGATTTTAGCGGAGCATACAGCTTGATGAGGTCAGAAACATATTTAGGAGCAAAACCATTAAGAGATTTAAAAACAAACACCAAAATCTTAAAATGAATCCTGAAATGAAACCAGTGAAGAGAGGCGATAACAGGGGTAATGTGTTCCCGCTTTCGTGTATCCGTCAACAGGCGAGCTGCCGCATTCTGGACCATCTGCAGTCTGGAGAGAGAGGCCTGACTAATACCTATAGAGGCAATATTACAATAATCCAGATGAGTTGAAATGAAAATATGAACAAGTCTATGAAAGTCTTTAAAGGACATAAAAGATTTCACCTTGGTGAGTTGTCTCAATTGGAAAAAAATAGATTTAACTACCGAGTTAATCTGTTTGTCCAATTTAAAATCACAATCCATAATAACACCTAAATGTTTTGCATAGGGCTTCACAAGTGGATTCAATTTACCAAGGTCCAAATGTAATGATTCATAAGTGCTTCCCGGCGTAAACAGCATAACTTCTGTTTTCATTAAAGATAAGGAAATTTAGTGCCATCCAGGCCTTAATTTCCTCAAGACACTGCAATAGAGGCGCTAAAGTGCAAGTATCTTTTCGTTTTAGAGGCAGATAAATTTGCATATTGTCAGCATAACAATGAAAAGAAATACCAAATTTCATAAAAATATGTACTAAGGGGAGCATATACAGGGAGAACAAAATAGGCCCTAAAATGGAGCCCTGGGGGACCCCACACGTGAAAGAAGCCGCTGAGGAGGTAAAGTCTCCAAAACTAACTGAGAAAGTTCTTTCAGACAAATAGGATCTAAACCATGCCAACGCAGTACCCTTAATACCAACACATTGCTCTAAGTGTGTAATCAAGATCTTATGGTCTACAGTATCAAATGCTGCCGAAAGCTCTAGAAAAATTAATGAGTACCATGTAGATCTAGAAATGAATGAAATTGTCCAAATCCGACCTTCTCCAGTAGTTTGTACAGAAACAGAAGTTTCAATATAGGTGTAAAATTAGCAAAGATTGATTACTCCAGATTAGATTTCTTGATTACTGGTTCCACTGCTGCATGTATAAAAGACTCAAGGTACAACTCCCGAAGCCGGGCTTCTATTAATAATTGTAAGTACTTAAGACCAATAGTTTCAAATCAACTTTTTAGAAGATGTGGAGGAACAATGTCCATGCCACACGAAGATGATTTCATTTTAACAATGATCTCCCTCAATGAGACAAGAGACACCGGCTCAAACTGATTAAACTAAGCAGAGCACTCAGTGAAAATGGACAAAAAAGTCGATGGGTAAGAAATATTAGCTCTAATAGCATCAATCTTATCAATAACATTTTTTAAAAAATGTTCACACATTTCGGCAGAAGACTCTAATCAAGAAGCTTGGGGATTGTTCAAAACAGCATTAATAGTTCTGAACAGCACAGCTGGCTTATGAGAGTTATTACAGATAACATTAGAGAGAGACTTTGATTTCTCCGATCTAACAGTATTTTGATATTTAGACAAATTCTCCTTTAAAATATTAAATGAGATGTGTCATTTATCCTTCTTCCAGCGGCGTTTCGCCCTTCTGCATTCACGCCTTATAGCCCGAGTAGTAGCGTTCAGCCACGGTTGAACTCTAGTTCCCTTTCATAGTCACTACGAGTTACGTCTTGACGACAAATGGGGTTTCGCTTAGAAAGCCTATCAACTTCGAGTATTACAAAACGAGCCAATGGCAAAGAAAAGCCATGGGTCTGCGGAATTTGCTTAGCGTATCTCCGCCCCACCTCGTCGTGGGTATAAAACGAAGTACGCTGGCAACATGCAGTCATGTTACTTGCTGAGGAGCCGCGACTGAACTCAGGCTGATCCAGCGGTACAGCGAAAGTGGCAGGGAGACGTAACGTCTTCGTTCCCTACTAAGGGAACAAGGGTTACATACCCAACCGAGACACTTTTACTTGAACAGTCCTAGAAGGGGCCACTGTATCCAAAATACTTTGACAGGTAAAAAGAACAATGAGTTTAAGTCGTCGGTGTTAAGGCCATATGAGGACATTGAATAATCATCCTAATGCTAACCCTAACCCATCGTTATATCCATCTATATATCTATCCATCCAAAACCATTTTAACTTTTAGAAAGACTTTGTCAAGAATATGAACTACTACGAGATTTTTTAATCCAAATTTTTCTAGGTTTTGTTTTTGTGGTGATGTGGTGGTAATTATGTGCCCACAATTAATCGAAGTGGTTCCAGGTGTAGCCTTGTTTAGTGGTCATGTGCTTGGTCTTAAGTGGGATGAGTTTGTGTATGCCTGATGAAGGTCGTGAGACCGAAACGTTGCTAATAAAGAATTTCTAAATGCAAGTTCTGATAGTGTGCGAGAGTTTCTCGTTTGCAGATTGTCGACCGATCTTTTTTGGTCTTTTTCCTACTCACCTATTATCTACAGGTGTGCGGTGGTTTTTTATTGATAGGTTTTGTTTTTGAAAAAAAATTTTAGCGGTTGACCGATATACAATGTTGCCAATGCTGGTATGTGGCATTTTTTTAATTATCGACATCAGCTGATGTTGTGTTATTCTGTTTTAGGCGATTCTGTTATTAGTTATAGAAAGCCATATGCTATAAACCTTTCTCAAATAGCTCATACAGCTACAGTTGGTCATTGGCCATCTTTCTCTGTAAGATACTGGCATTGGCCATCAAAAAATCCCTATCGGTCAGCCACTAGTCGATAACTGTTGAATGTGGGGAAAGCTTGACATGTTTCATTTGTAGTATTTCTGAGCATACCCAACATCCAGCACAGCCTGCGAGTATGATGGAGGACAGTCTATGGCCGTTCTGGGATATTGTGAATGAGAGAGCAGCTGGAGACTGTGGACTGAGCTGAACGTCTCTGACGGGGACGGACACTGGGGTGAAAGGTCATGGCCTCCAGGACGGACGTGTCCTCTGTCCACTATGACGAGCCGGGACAGCAGGAGTGGTCGGTGGCAGGCGCCCCTGTAGACACCGTGTGGCAGCAGGACACTTCTCTTTCTCTGATGGTGCAGGACGAGGGCCAGCAGTGCCACCACCAGCACGAAGATCACGGCACTGCCAATCACTGCGTACGTGATACTGGGGTAATAGTGGAGTCGATAGTCCAGAGTCACAACGTCCTGTCCTGGGTATTCTAGGAGGAATCGGGAATCATTTCACATTATTTCAAAGATTATTTTACTTAAATAGCCAAGTAAATAAACTGGAACATACATACAATCAAACATACACAATCATAAAGAGGTACGCTTGGGTAAATTCCCAAGATATACACCCTGATATTACAGATTACCGTGTTAATCAGTTGTTGTTGTTTTTATATATTTTGTGTACATTTCTTTAAAAAAAGGGTTACACTTTTTTACAGGCACAATATCAGGGCATGAATAATCATGTACTGTACCAATACCTGAATTAATATTTACTTCAACATGAACACATGATTAGTGAAGATATGAACTAATCATGAGTTCATTGTGCACGTAACTATTAATTCAGGTATTGGCACATGATTATTCATGCCCTGTTATTGTAAAGTAATACCAAAAAACTATAGTGTGGCTATACGAAGTCTACATTTGCACAGTTTAGTCTTTCTCTAATTACTGTAAATTTTAAATTATTCATTCAGTGAACGCATGACTTTTGGCAGACACATGCATTCAAATCAGCTTAAAACATTGAAGTACCGTAATTCCTCAAATAAAGGCCGGGGCCTTTATTTACCTGAACTGCAGATGGTAGCCGGCTTTTATTTGAAGCAGGCTTTTATTAGAGGCAGGCCTTTATTTCTAATTCGCGATCCCCGCCCGCCCCCCAGCCAAGTTTCCATGGTGACGCGTCATGCTTGGCACGTGTTCACCACAGCCAAAATAGCGCTGTATGACAGATGTAGCGCTTTTATTTCTAAATATTAACAAACTTGCTTACCATGTCATCATCTATCTTCTATTCTGACTCTCAAATCCGTGTAAGTGAGTTTGTTTTGTCGTTTAAAACCCTTTATAAATGATCTTGATCTGTAACGTGAGATGGGCACCGCAGTTCGGAGATTCCTGTTGTATTTGTTAAGTTACAGCGCGTGAATTCTTCAGTTTCTCCGGAAATACATGAAAGTAAGTGGCCGGTGAACTGGGAGAAGAATAGAGTAAACTTTATAGTTACTTACACACTGTGTATCTGATATGAATAAAACACGTCGCCAAATATATTTGAATGGATTGTTATTGCTGCTTCCAAAGACACCATTGTGTATTTTACAAACTATAAATTTATTGTTTTGCTATAAATCATATCTATTTAAATGTCTGAAACCTAAAATAAACATGTGGTTAAAAACACTGAATAGTTGTGATATATGACAAGCGCTGAGCGCGTCCGTCTTTGAGTGTACACTCATTTAAAGTGTACCTATTCACACTAATTTTTCCCCGGCCTTAATTTGAGACCGGCCTTTATTTGTCCGCGTTGACCACGCCCCCGGCCACTATCAGAGGCCCGGCGTTTATTTGAATACCGGTCTTTATTTGAGGAATTACGGTATGCATTGTAGCAGTTCATGTATTCCCTAGGAACTGAGCCTATGACCTTTGGTTACAGTCAGGAACATCTATGCTTATGAAGATTTTTCACTGAAGATCATGGACACAGCCAAACTCATGAAATGGAGAGAGTATCCGGGTATTTTTTTTAATTACAAAGCTAATTTCAAACATATAAGCTAAAGCCTTTTGAAAGGTCATTGAAAGATTCAGCATGCAGATGTGTGTGTGTAGTGTGTGTCTGTACTGCAGATGTGCAGTGTTGTGCTAGTTACTAAGAAATAGTAACTAGTTACAGTTACTAGTTACTTCATTCAAAAAGTAACTCAATTACTTTGTTGATTACTTACACCAAAAAGTAATGCGTTACTGTTAAAAGTAACTTTTTATTTTACTTTTTTAAAGAAAGTTCTTAAATGTTCCCATTAATGCCCTTTTATGCGTTATGGTCTATACAAATACAAAACTGACTTAAACAGAAAGTAATTTTTAAACACTATTTTATTTAAGTCAGACCAGCACAAACTGAATATATCAAGGATTTCTGAAATAAATAACAAAACAAGCATTTTTAAAGCTAGTGACTTGTTTGCTTTCTCAACACTGATATGTTCATGCAGCTGACAGTATACGTTTTTACCACTGTGGTTTTTACTGCATGAATTAATATTTGAGCAATACAATTGTACCTTGATCATTCTTGTTAGTTCATAGTAGGCCTACATTAACTAAGGAGATACAAATACATCTAACAATGAATAATACTTCTACAACATTTATTAACCATATTTAATGCTAAAATTGTAATCTTATTGTAAAGTGACATTTATATGATTCAAGCTTAAAGAAGATGGCCATATTTAAATATCTGCAAAGGCCAGAGCATTAAAATTACATAAATGTAGACCTATATTACATGTACAGTCTTTCACTTTATTTGCTTAAATTTTAGAACACTTGATTAGACTTGATGTCGGCTGCATTAACATATCAATGTAAGCAATCAATCACGTCACTAGTTTTAAAAATACAACTTCGCCGGCTAATGAATGCATAAAAGTGACCAGCTGGACATAAACTAATGCAAATAGATGGTAACAATTGCGACATAAAACATGTGGGCAGGTCTGCGTGTGTTTTTGTCACATTGCTTTAATCGCGTGAGGTAAGTTAGCCATTACTAATGTTATTCCTCTCAGACTCGACGGCAAGCTTCTGTTCTTTCTCTGCTGATGCAGCATCTAGTCAAAAAATTAATTACTTTATAATGATATGGCAATGTGTACTTAAGTGTTCTGTATTCATACCGTTTCGCTGTCTGTGTTTTAAATGCGCATCAAGTGCTCAGCGCTCTCTGTGCAGCTTGTAATCTCCGTGCTCGCGCTGCCTCACGTGTACGTAAACAACTCAGTGTCCAGTGAGTTTGTTATGTGTCCTCAGGTGTCCTCTCGCTCTGTATAATGCTAGCAGTCTCTTCAGTGCTCTCGTACTGTGTAATGACAGCGCACACTTCTCAGCCGCTCCAGCAACTAATTAATTTAAAAAAGTAACGGACAACGCGGCATATGGTAACGGTAACGGAGTTAATTTATTTAAAAAGTAATGCGTTACAGTATTAGTTACTGTCAAAAGTAACGCGTTACTGCCCAACACTGCAGATGTGTGTGTGTAGTGTGTGTCTGTACCTGCTGTTGTAAGGCAGTTCTCTTCATCGCTGTTATCTCGACAGTTATCCTGTCCATTGCAGAGGAAACTGCGATCTACACACCGGCCGTTACGACAGTGGAAGCGTGCGGATGAACACACCAGAGGGTTAGCAGCTGTGGAGAGATTTACAGATTATTTCATAGATTTGTACATGCTATCTTTCTTCTAGTATAATAAATAAAATAAATACTTAATTTAATTTTGTATTTAATTTTACTTTGAATACCTCATTTGAATTTATTTCTTAAGTAAATGTATTGCCAAACAGTTGTTTAATAAGCAGAAGGTGAAGTAAACCTGCTAACCTCACCCAAATCTAATTGAACATCCTTCCAATAAAGTGAGTAATAACTGAAGATTAACCTGTTAAACCCAGTGGGGGGTGTGACCCACATAAAATACAATGATTCCACAATAATACATCATTAAAAAAATAAATTACAGCTCTTTAATGAAGTAATATATAGGCCTAAACTAATCATTTAAAGTGGTTTCGTTCCTTTACTTAAAACCCTGTTTGCAGTTCGTGTGCTTGGCGGAGCATTGGATACTCACTGCAGTTGTCTTCATCACTGCCATCAGGACAGTCCCTGAAGCCGTTACACTGGAAGCGGCCAATAATGCAGTGGACCCCGCTTGCACAAGCAAAGAATGTGGGTGCACACTTTGACTTCATCTTCACTGTGAGGAGGCGAGAGAGAGAATAAAGAGGGGGAAAATGTGGATCTCTGTATTTGGCTGAGCAGTCATTTGGGTGACACACCATTGTATTAAGATTTCTTCTAATACACGAAATAAATAAGCTTGACAAGTCCCACAGACAGAACTTGTGTCACAAACTATAGATACAATAGTATGTACCTTAATGTTATGAAGCTACGAAAATACTTTTTGTGTGCAAAGAAAAGAAAAATAACGACTTTATTCAACAATTTCTTCTTTTCCGTGTCAGTCTTTGGCGTTATACCACAACGCATGCGTGTGCATTCCTCGTTATTTTTTCTTTGCACGCAAAAGGTATTCTTGTAGCTTCATAAAATTAAGATTAAACCACTGTAGTCACATGGACTATTTTAACGATGTCTTTACTACCTTTCTGGGCCTTGAACGTGGTCAGTCTATGGAGGGTCAGAAAGCTCTCGGATTTCATCAGAAATATCTTAATTTTTGTTTCTTACGGGTTTGGAACGACATGAGGGAGAGGAATTAATGACAGAATTAGCATTTTTGGGTGTTTTTGACCTTTGATCATTTAAAACATGATCAAAAGAGTGATGTGTTTTAATGACAGAAGTTCAAATAAGTGAGCAAATGGAAAATATCTGTATCGGCCAAACAAATCTTATTGGTGTATCCCTAGTGCAAAATTGTCTTTTTGTCAGTCATTGATTAAGTATGTGCTCGGAAGTTAAGTGTATTGGAATTTCTCATATTTGCATCTGTTTGATATACAGACCATTTCAGTCCTTCCAGAAAAACGCAGAGTTTTTTTGTGATTGTTGCGGGCAAAAATCCTTGATTACGCGGCCCGTTTTCTTTAAAAATGCGATGGAATATGCGGGATATTTATGCAATTTTTTGCGATGAAATTGCGGGAACTTGCAAAAACTGCGGTTTGATGAAAAAGAGAAAAAAAAGTGATTCCCCCAACACCCTGTTCTCACTAGGCTACTACTTTAATGTAAAGAGTCCTTTCTTATTACTTCCTATGATAAGCAAGCATACTACATCACAGAAAGTGCTGGAATATTTAATCTTCTTTTATTTCAGACTGTAACGAGTGGAAATAAGGTGTGGCCCCTTTAAGAGCTGCGCTGTTGAACTGTCTGCAGTAACGTTGTTATGTGTCATGCGCCTCGAACACCACATGTGTGCGGGTAATTTCTATTTGATGCTACTTCCTCTTATTTTGTTTATTAAGTAACGATGTGGACGGTAGAATGTGTGACAGACAGTTATACAAGTTCGATTTAGGAATAAAGTGCGAGTTGTGAGATGCCAATCGCCTCCGTGAGTCTGTCTGGCCTCTGCAATAACTCCAGCTGTGAGCTATCCCTATTTTTCTTCCCGACACAACGCGTTACAAGACCTTAATAAACACATCAAACTTACAAAACATTGATGAGTCAAACAAGTTCTGTAGCTTTACTAGAGGAATATGCTACAACTTCAGTAAAAATAAATAAATTAAATATTTAAAAATAAAGTGTGCTCCTGTTTTACAGCTTTTCGATGATGTTCACGTCGCGTAATTACGTCACTTCATAACGTTCCCATGGTAACAGTGGGAAACGGCTGCTCTCGTGTGAAGCAAACGCAACATTTTCCAACTTTCTGCTAAGATATATGTGACTTTTTTGCAACGAAAATGCGGGGATTATGAAATCATGCAAGCCCCGCATATTTTGCGCAGAAATCAGCAATTTATGCGGCGAAATTGTGGAGTATTTGAAAAAATGCGCCCCCCGCATAAATATGCAGACTTTGGCTGATTATGCATTGAATTCAGCGATCGCATAATCACATTTTTCTGGAGGGACTGCCATTTTGTCTCATTTTAAATGTTTTTAAAAATGTGATGCCTACTTAAAACAGCCCCTGCCACTTTGACCATTTTCCCACTGACAGGGTGCAGAATAACAGCTAAAAATAATGGGTAATTTTGTACAGGAGAAGCTGAAAGAATGGAACTTGGATGTCCTGATACCAAGCTTTAAGGGTAAAGTGAAATGCACTTCATTATAACCCATTGTGCCTCTGGGTAGGCCAGTTTTCTAATATTCTTCTCTTGTTTATTTTCTTAATTTTTTTTTCTTTTTACAGATGAACAAATTGATTAAGAAACACTCCTTCTGCTTGATGAAAAATCACTTGAAGCAATGATACCAAAGATAGGCCTACGTCTGAAATGTAAAAAGCACCTGAGAGAGCTGCTTGTTGTGAGTGAAGAAATGCACATTTAAGATGGGATGTATGTGCTTTAGGTGCAAAAAGTCTGTTGGGGCCAATGTTCGTTTTTTTTTTTCTCACCCAAGGGGAATGCATAATGTACATAGTTCATCAAGTTATTTTGAGTGTGGCCAAGCCGGGTGTCACAGGACATTCAATTGCAGTAGATCATTTAAGCGACATCTGCTCCAGCACCATGTAGAGGCTGAGACAGAAGAATCCAGCCAGTCAACACACTTGCCTGAGACATTGACACTGAGGTCTGAAAGCATACCTCTGACTTCTCACAGTCAGCCTTTGGAGGAGGACGATAATGCTGCTGATGACATGAGTTGAGTTGAACTTTATTGTGATATGGGATGAGTTAGAGCAGAAAACTATCACAGACAGAGTGGCCTTGTTTCTATCAAACCATATCTACTGTCAACTCTGTAGTTCAGCAAACATCTAGTCTGGTCTATGATATTGTTGGTGCTTTACAAAGACAGACCATGTCTTTCTTACAAAGGATTGGCCAAAGTGAGACTCCTGAAGGCCAACAGCTGAATCAGCAATGTGCAAATGCAGCTTAACCTTTTCAATGCCTGGATATTGAACACAAGCAGATGAAATACTTTGTTCCAGCTGGGCACCTAGTTCAGCCAGTGGAGCAGCCTCCCCCTGGTGTCTCATACACCCAACAAAGAGACTCACAGACAGGGACTGTAAAACAGGTGGCAGTGCAGGATACTTTCCAAAGAATTCTTTTACGTCCACTACTGAAACTCATTCTTGAGAGTCCAGGGACGATGGAGTGGAAAAAGAAGCTTAGTGACTCAAACAGTCTGGATGACACCACTGTTTTCCCCACTGAGCCCTCTGTTCCTCTTCTGCTGTATAATGATGACTGTGAAATGGTTAATCCAAGAGGCTCCAAGACCTCAATCTACAAGTTGGGATTCATCTATTTCACTGTTAAATGTCTTCCTCCAGAGTGCCTTTCAAGTCTGGACTCTCACTTTCTTTTGGCAGTGTATAAGGCAGATGATGCAAAAACGTATGGTATAGACACTGTCCTGAAGTCAGTTGTTGATGATATCAATGACTTGGAAACAAATGGAAGTAGACACGGTTCACTTCAAAGGCACATTAAAGGTTTGGGATGTCCAAATTTGTGGAGATAATTTGGGTCTAAATTCAATCCTTGGCTATACAGAGAGATTCTCTTGGAACAGTGTTTGTCGCTTCCACAAACAATGGAAGATCCTTCACGGCTTAGGAATAAGGATGGCAATCTTTCAGATCTGGTGCAAAGTAATCCAACAGAAACTGGCCTAAAAAGAGAGAAAATTTTAAACAACCTGGAATACTTCCATGTGACAGAAAATGTAGAAAATGTCATGCATGATATCCTGAAGGAAAAGGTGCATATGAAATTAAATTGGTATTAGGCTCTCTCATCTCAAAGAAGGTATTAACCTTAGACCAGGTGAATTACCGGATCACAAGTTGCAATTATGGCATCTGTGACTGTGCCAACAAGCCATCCACAATCCGACCTCAAGATCTAAAAGTGCCTGACAGTTCGATGAAGTAGACAGCAGCACAAATGTGGTGCTACTTCATTTGATGATAGGAGATCTCATTCCAGAGGGAAATAAAGACTGGGAGCTCTTGCCGCTTTTGTTGACCTGTATGGAAAATATATATTATATATTCCAGCCTTAACAGAAGATGCAGTATTATTTCTCAGACTTCTCATTGATGAGCACCACAGCCTTTTCCTAGAACTCTTCCCTGATAGACGTCTAAAGTTAAAACATCATTTCATGCTGCATTATCCAGGTGCCATAAAGAGACTGGGCCCTCTGGTGTACTACTGGTCCATGCGCTTTGAGGCCAAGCATGGTTTTTTAAAAAGGCTTGCCCACGTCACATTCAACTTCAGAAATCTTTGCAAAACAATGGCCTTCAGGCATCAAATGTTGCTGTGTTACAGTCTTGTCTGAACACATATTTACACATCACAAAGAACTTGGTCCTGGTTGCACTACTCCACTTGCTTCCATTGAGGGATTTGATCAAGTCTGCCACAGATTTGAGCATACTCCATCATTGTCTGAAGAGTACATACCCTCTTGGGTGAAGTGGAAAGGGACAGAATGTCGTCCATGAATGATGCTCCTTGTGTCTCATTCTCCAGATGGTAAACTCCAGTTTGGAACAATTCAAAAGATAGTGGTTTTTGAGTCTGTTATCAAGGTCAGTTTGGAACCTGGAAATGGGACACAGTAGGATTCAAAAGAAACAATTTTGCATAATGTGTCATTCCCACTACTGTCATTGACTCCATTGATGATTACCATCCTCTCCATGAAGTGAGGTCATACAAGGAAGAGGACAGCAACCAGTATGCGTCCATGTGCTACCGGTTGTTTTAAATGTCCTCTTTTCCAACTTGAACTTCCAAGGACCAAGGTTTTTTATTTGTTTTTATTTATTATTTTTTTGGACTGTTTACACTCCTGTGCAGAATTTTGGAGATGCAAGCTTTTTTCCTGAATGAGTCTATCATTAATTCACAATTTTGTGTTTTACCTTGCTTTGTGTAAGTATATGTTGAATATATTACTAATACTACACTATTCGCAAATTAAGCTAGCATCAAAGCACTATTATATGTAGAATAAATGTCAATATGAAAAATTTGTTACAAGAAATTAAACCACATGTAGGTAACCATTTTTCCATAC